ACCCTGCGGGTCGGCTGCTGTAACGCCGTCGGCGAGTGCAGAGGCGCCCCCAGCGCTCCAGGGGTCGTGCCCCTGCGGCTGCCGCGCTTGCCCCAGAGGCTCCTCCTCCTCCTCTTCCCTCTCGCCCTTGTCCGCGCAACATCTCCTCCGCCTCGTCCCACTGTTCCGACATCTCCTCCTCCTCCTCCTCCTCCTCCTCCTCCCCGTCTTCTTCCACCCTGTGCCCTCTGGTGCCAAGATAATGCCAACGACGAGGAAACAGACACTGACGAGGCTGAGGAGGCACTCGAACCACAGCTACCAATGGAGGGGGAGGAATATCAGGAGGAGAGAGACGATGATACAGATGACGCCGCGGATGACCATGACGATGACGACGACGATGTGAATGATGACAATGCTAACAACAGTGGCGATACTGATGACGGCGATGGCGACGACGATGGTGACGGCGATGGCGACGACGATGGTGATGACGATGGTGACGGCAGTAGTGACGTTAACGAAGACGACGAAGACGACGACAACGACGAAGACGACGACGAGGCGTTCGAAAACACAGACCGCATCGGACCACCCCAGACTAGTCCTCCATCGTTGTGTTTTTCTCTCGACTCGGGCTCTCACACCTCGCCACCCCAACCTCAGGACTCGCTTTCGGTCGCGGGCAAAATTGTTGATCAGGCCCGAAAATACACGGCCCCCGAAAGCCGACACTGCAAGAGAACGGCAATGGAGTGGGTGACTGTTGGTCCCCCAGTTCAGGGGGGAAACATCGACCTGGATTCGGCGATACATTGCCAAGAGATCGGCGATGGGCCACTGATGGTGAAACCAGGTCCTAGGCGGAGTGGGCCATCGGGCCCCTATCAGCGATCAATGGGCGATCGGGGGTCGATGCATCCACGCTTGAGCCCATTCCCCCCCCTACGTTGACCCTGACTTTCGGGGCCCGTGGGGACGTCAAGTCCAAGCGCACGAGCGAATGCTGGGGGCCCCTCGTGGGCCCGCAACAGAAAGGCCATGCCGGCGATGGGGCCCCCCTCAGAGGCCTCCGGGATGCCTCGATGCGGTCGGCGGATCGCGCCGCATCGCCGATACATCGCCGACGCATTGGGGATGCATCGGCGACGTCGGCGATGCATCGGGGAAATCGGCGTGGAGAAGATCGGGCGCCACATCGAGCCGCATCGCCGATGTATCGGCGATGCAGCACGATCCCACTTGGCCAGCATGGGGGAAGCGGGTCCTGAGGGAAACGGGTCCTTGATCCTGGGGCCTTCTCCCAGCGCGAGCTCTTCCTCCTGAGCCGTTCTCTGGCAGCCCCAGGGCCCGTGGAGGGCCCCGAGAGCCTGAAAACGGCGAAACACCTCAGGACCTGTTTCCCTCGGGGCCCGTCTCTCCCATGACTAGAGGCCTCCTAGGTGGGATCCGAGTAGGTGGGGTCGGAGGAGCTCGACGCATCGCCGATACATTGGCGATGCATTGGCGACGCCGGCGTGGAGAAAATGGGGCTCCATATCGATCCGCATGCACGATGCATCGGCGCTGCGGCGCGATCCTCCGACCCCATCCACTCCGACCCCATCTGGGAGGCCTGGAGCTCTGGGAGGCCTGGAGCTCCGTGGCCGACCGGAGGGGCCGCGGCCAGGATTATGTCGGGCGTGTCCCCCTACAGGGGGATTTTCGACGAAAACTAAAAAATACCCCCAAAATGCACCAAAAAAGTAGAAAGATATTCAAAAAGTAGTCCCCAGACTATTTTCGGAGTATTTTTTTCACTATTTTTAGGGTATTTTCTAATTTTCGTCGACAATCCCCCTGTAAGGGGACAGGCCCGACTTAAGGCCAGGAAGCCGCGGCGGGCGGCGGAGAGGCTCCTCCGCGGCGCGGCGCGCGCGGCGGTCGACCAGCGCCTCGCGCCAGGACGCCAGCGCCTGCCGCGCCCCAAGGGGGCGGGCCCGCGCTGCGCCCCCCCGCGCAGGGGGCGCTCCGCCCGGCGGCGGCGGCGGCGGGCACGGCGGCGGCGGCAGTGGCGCTCGGAGGTCCTGGCGCTGCAAGTTTCCGCAACTGGCCATCGCTCGGACGTCCATTCCCTGTGCTTTTTTCGGTTTCGTGTGGTTTTTGCGCCAAATGATCAAGGATGCTCCTCGATGGCCCCCGTCGAGAAAAAATGCACACGTCCGAGCGATGCCAAGCCTCGCGTCGGGCCCCGGGGCTCTCACAGGTATCGATCCGGTGCGGAAGGAGGGCGCGGGAATACGTGGTCCGGGGCTCCGGTCGCCGTTGTCGCATCCTGAAGGGTGGGGCTCTCGTTGTTCGTGTGATGCCTCCGCCTCTTCCTCCTCTGCCTTCTCCCTCTGCCATTAATGCTCGGACTCACTCAGACTCGGGTCCATTCATTTACAGACTGATACATACACGGATTTTCTCGTACTCAGATTCGCTCATCCTCAATCGCTCATGCTTACACCCTCTTGCACTCAGTCTCCATCATAGCTCTCATGGCCACTCATTGCCACTCAGACTCACTCACATTCAGACTCTCACTCATACCCACCACAGGCATGCCATTTGGGCCTCCCAAAGGGTAATGGATCCACCAAAGGGTATGGCATGGGGCCGTTCGCACCCAGATTGGTGGGACCGCTCACGTAGCATACTCGTTTACGGCGGTGGACGTGTCTCTTTTCAGAGACTCCTGGTCACCGCGATGCAGCAGTCATTCCTCCCTAATCTCCTGGCAGCTGCCGATCGAGTGAGCGTGGCGGCCGACGACGGGGGTCATGAGGGATATGTTTCTCCACCGAGCTTGTACAGTAATCTCATATTGTGCTGCCAGGGATTGGACATGCATGGGTCTACGCGAGCACCCATCACTGCCGAGGAGCTGCAAACAGACACGGCCGGATTCACGTGTGGAACACCTGGAGGCCACGCGCGGAACACGCGTGCGGAGGAAGGAGGAGGGAAGAGGGAGGAGGAAGGAAGGAGGAGGGAGGAGGGAGCAGGGAGGAGGAAGGAGGGAGGACATAGACGGGCCGAGCGCTGGAACGGCATGTGGCCACATCACTCGGGGATCCTCTAGCCCGGGTCAATCCACACCTGGGTCAGTCAAGCCTTGCAGGATCCTGCAAGACACTGCGAGATCCTGCAGGATCCTGCACCCACGCCCGGGCCAATGCAACCCTGATCCTGCAGGGTCCTGCAAGATCCGGCGCTCTGACTGACCCCCGCTTGCATGGACCCGCGTCTCTTGAGCCCCGCATCATGTGTATCCAGCTCGCCCTGGCCTGGCCACGTCATGTGCATCCAGCTCCCTGGTACTTCGTTATGGCCGACCGAGGCTTCTCCTATCGGCTCGAGCCCTGTGGGATCGAGGGCCCCGCTCCGGCGACCGCTAGCAGGCACGCGGGAAGTGGTGGATCAGCCCCGAGGCACCACGGTGGCGCTCGCGAGAGGCTGCGCTGCGGCGGTGCCGCAGGGGGCGACACAGAAGACTGCCTGATGGTCGCCGACAGCGCTGGTAAGCTGGGTGAGGGGAGGAGGATGATGAGGATGAGGATGAGGATGAGGATGAGGAGGAGGAGGAGGAAGAGGAAGAGGATGAAAGGATGAGGAGGAGGAGGAGGAGAAGGAGGAGGAGGAGGAGGAGGAGGAGGAGAGAAGGAGGAGGAGGAGGAAGAGGAGGGAGGAGGAAGACGAGGAGGAGGAGGAGGAGGAGGAGGAGGAGGAGGAGGAGAGAGGAGGAGGAGGAGGAGCAAGAGAGGAGAGGAGGAGGAGGAGGGGAGGGGGAGGAGGAGGAGAGGAGGAGGAGGAGGAGGAGGAGGAGGAGGAGGAGGAGGAGGAGGGAGGAGGAGGAGGAGGAGGAGGAGGGGGAGGAGCAGCGCTGGCCCCGTCCCAGATCTCAGAGGCTCTGCCTGCTGCTCGCGGCGTGGGGCCCTGGAGCTCTCGGGGCCTTCTCCCCCTCGGCGGGCTCTCTCCGCCGCGCCTCGCTCTCAATTGGCCCCGGGGCCACGAAAAGGCACACAGGGACGACTGAACTCTCGCCACCGCTCGGACTGCCACTCCCCGCGCACTCTCCGATTTCGTGCGTACATTTTTTTCCCCAGGATGATCCGAGAGGTGCTCCTCGATGGTCCCCGCCGAGAAAAGAAAGATGCACGCGGCCGAGCGATGCCGAGAGTGAATGAGAAACACGCCAACTGCGCGCCCGGCGCCGCCTGCACCGCGCGCGGGCCACCCAGTCGCGCGCAGACCACCAGAAACTCGCTGGGGAGCAGAGAATGGTCACCCAACCCTCGGTGCAGACTACACCGAACCCAGACCCCCGACGTCGTGATTCTTTCGCAACGTCAGCCCCAGGAGGTCTGGACCCCTTCCCCGGGACCCGTTTTCCATCCTGAATCGTCTTTTGACGGTCCCGAGGCCCAGGAAAGGCCCCCGGAGGCCGAAAATAGCCGAAAGCCTCCCGTCGTGATTCTTTCACAGCGCGAGGCGGTCTGGGAATGCGCGCCACCTGGCCACGCATCACAGCCCAGACTCACGCCGGGACGACGGAGGCGGGTGGGGCAACACACCCAGATGTGAGAGGCCTGGGAAGGCCGCTGCGCTTGTCACCCCAAGCGGATCCCCTGGCGCTGCCCCGACTCCCCTGGCCGAATACCTTCGAGCTGCGTCCCGCCGTGCCCACGAGGAGGGCTCCAGAGGAGAACGGGAGACAATAAGCCGCTTCTCCCACCCACAGCCGCAGCAGAGCCGACCAGCAGCGCCGCGTGGCCCACGATGCTGACTCGGCCGCAAGCGCCAATGATGGCATCGCCGACGCGTACGCAAACGCCAAAGGTGGTACAATACTGGCCGGCGGAATGAGCGAAGAAATGTAAATCAGCCGCTTCCTGCACGACGGATGAAGAGTCTGCACGGAGCGGTCTCCAGAGGTCTCTTGAGGCACCCAGGAGGAGTCGGGAGGCCCTCTGCGGGTCCCTGGGCCCCCCTGATCACATGCGGCCCTTCGGAGGCCTCCGGACAGACCCAGGAAAGGCAATCAATACCTACATGCCATACATACACACATCCATGCGTGCACATACATGCATACATGCGTACATGCATGCCTGCATCCATCCATCCATGCATGCATGCATGCCTGCGTGCATGCATGCATGCACACATACATGTATCAAACCATCCATCCATTCATACACACACATATACATGCATACACACAAAATTACATACATACATACATACATACATACATACATACATACATACATGCATACATGCATACATACATACATACAGGTTAACTGCTACATTCGGTGGGGAACGTTTTTGCTACCACATGCCACTCGTCTTGGCGAAGCTGGGACGCAACTGACAGCCTGGCGACAGAGCAGAGAGGGAGACAAGGGAGGGCGGGAACCGAAGAAAGGCTATGGAGTCCAGGGGTCCCCCATTTCAATCGGTTCGTTTTTGACCTGTTTCATCAAATCATTCCGCTCACAACCTTCCCGTGCACGCACTGACAGGTTAACTGCTACATTCGGTGGGGAACGTTTTTGCTACCACATGCCACTCGTCTTGGCGAAGCTGGGACGCAACTGACAGCCCAAAATCCCAAAGGGTTCTCTGGGAGGGCGAGGCGGGTTAAAGGAAGGATGCCGCCTCTTGATCCCTCTGGCGGCACAATAAACAGTTCACAATGCAGTCAGCCAGCTTCGGAGGATACGAAGCTGCCAGAAATGTCCACGTGGCCCCAGAGGGGGCCTTGCCTTCCAGGATAACGTGGGGCTTCCCTGAAGCCGAGCAAACACCACCAAAACTGTGGCACCGCCTTTGGACTTTTAAAGTGTCCTGGGGGTCCACTCCGAAGAACAAGAAACGCGTACGCTTTCTCCAGCGGGCCCCAAACTGACATTGATCGCACACTCGAGAATGCATGCGATAACGCTCGGTAAGAGACTTCAGTTCAGGCGTGTGCCAGGCTCTACTGTTTATCGGATGCTCAAAAACAAAGGGCACCTGCGCGCGGGCAAGCGCCTTCATTAATTTCAACGCGGCTCGGAAGGTGGCATTTCCCTGCGCGATTCTTCTAGTCGTATATTCGGAGGCGTCGGGGAGCCCCCAAGGAAAATCCTTCGAGCGACCCGGCTGACGACCCCGATCCGCCGCAGTTCGCCAGGACGCACAGGGAGGCCCAAGGGACGCAGCAATCACCTCACGCCTAGATATAGCGGTCCTAACACGCACAAGCACGACTGGTCTAGTAAGGTCTTCATTGGGCCCGTTGAGGCTGTCAAAACCATGGTAGTTGAAACCCCGCTTCAAAGCAGCTTTGCCTATCGAGTTCGAGTCCGAGAACAAGTCTAAAATGTACTTACGCTGGCGGCCGCACCGCCTCACAGGGTAATTGTCTCTGCACCTTTTCCGAGCAGTATGTCCTCTAGACGTAGTTCGCACTGTGTCAAAGTATCTTGCAGCTGGGACGGCAGGAGTGACCAACTTTGACCCAACCTCGCCGCTTTTTCGTAACGTTGCATCGACTTGGCATGTTTCCACTGGCCTCTCTTCTGTATCTCCTCGATCGTTCTGTATCGTCGAGCGTTGTCTATACTGGGCCCCGAGTGTCTGGCTTGCGGGACAATGTGCTCCCGACTCTGTAGGTCGCTCAGCGCCTTTCTGAACGCTGCCAGAAACTGAGGGTAACTGAACGCCCACACCTTTTCTTCGGGATCCCCTCGTGCGAGCTCTCGGAAGATGGGCATGGCACACTGAAACCATCCGCTGTCCAACATCACCCCGACGTCCGACAGTCCTGTTTTGCTTCTCTGGGGCTTGTCGTCTGGGAACAGCAGTAGCGACCACCAGCGGCGCACTCCCATCGCAGGCGCGATGATGTTGCCTCTCGTCAGCGTCAGCAGATGGCTGGGCCTGAAGTAGCCGGAGACCATCGTGAGCAGGAACACCGCCATCTGCAGCGCGCCTCGCACCACCATGCGCCAGGCGAGCCCGCACCAGAGGGCCAAAGGCCATGCGCGGCGGCTCTGCCAGGGCGCCAGCTTGCGCCATCCCCGGAGGCACCTCCAGGCCCGAGGGGTTTTGGCCTCGCCCTGCTTTGAAAACTCCGGGAACCTGTGCATGAGGCCTGCCATCACCTGATCGCCCTTGGCGCTCTCGTGGCCTTCGAAGAACAGATGGTTCATGTAGTCGACCATCGCCTCGTCCACCTCTGAGGCGGTGGTCAAGGCCCGCTGCGGGCCCCGATCGCAATAATCCAGGAAGGCTTCCAGCTCTTGAGTGTAGCGGTCCCTCGCAGGCCCGAACACCGACCGCCTCTCCAGGAACGTCTGGCCCTCCACCGCCGTGCTGTCCAGCGCCGCCTCCGCGCCGTACGCACGTCGCCTCCGAGTTGCCCTCCTCAGCAGCTCCTTCTCGCGCCTCTCGCCGGCTGGCGCGACCTGCTGATCGTCGGAGGTGCTGCTGCCGTCGTCGCTGTCGGCCACGATCGGGCGCGACCAGCCCTGGGGGAGGGCTTGGAGGTCGCGTTCGTGCTCGGGCAGCCTGGGCGCTGGCGGCAGCTCGGCCAAGCTCAGCCTGGCCAGCCAGTCCTGCGCTCTCTGGGCCGCGGTGAGCCTCGGCAGGCGCTGCGGCCCTCGAGGAGTCCTGCTGCCCGATTCTCGCGCCACCAGCTGTCGGGAGGTCGGCGCCGCAGGCTCGGCCGACGCGGCCCTCTCCAGCAGACGCGGTCGCCGCGCCGGAGGCCCGGGCGAAGACGGCGGGGCCTCCCGCCGCAGTCCTCGGCGCAGCATGCGAAGACGAGGGCCCGCCGAAGGAGTGGGCCTGCAAACAGGTTTGAGCCGACGCGGGATACGAGGGCGTCAGACCGCACTTTGAATGCACGGGCTCGGAGCAAACATGGGCACCAGGAGACCAGTCGGACTCCTTGGGCGACAGGGGCAGAACGAACTGAGCTCTCTGAGGGTCACACTGCAAGGGGCACTGCACAGAATTCTCAGGCAAGAAAAAACGGAAGGGAGCGCGAACCTCAGGGGGGCCTTTGAACTTGGACTCCTCTGAAAAAAATGGGTCAGGAGGAAGCGCACCAAGAGACTCCTGAACCCCTTTCTTATCAAAACACGAGACCCATAATCGGCGGGACTCAACTCAGACGGAACCCACCTTACAGACACCTTCAGATTTCTTGCGAGACAATAGGCTTGAAACCTACGGACCTGGACGAGGAGAGCGAAATCTTTTGCACGGCTCCTGCTAAACGATAGTACAACTGACATGTTATCCGACAAGATCAGTTGACGGCAGGCGGCACCGAGCACAGACTGGGCGATGCGACGGACGCCCATCACCAGCGCTCGGGCCTCCTTGATAAGGATGCCCCCCCCATCGAATCGCCAGCGCTGCACCTGCTTGGTGCGCCAGCGGCTGCTCGCCAAGCCCGCAGCGGGCACCTCGGGGAAGGACGGGCCTGCCTCCCACGCGGCGGCCAGCTCGTCGTCGTCGTTCACGCCCTCGGCCAGCCGCCACTCTCCATCGGCGTCGCGCCAGAAGCCAGCCGCCTCCAGCGCCGCCTCCCGCGCGCCGCGGCGGGCAGCAGGAGCGCCCCCGTCAGCCCCGTCGGTCTCGACCGCCGCGGGCTCCCGGAAGCGGGTGCGTTCCTGCGCGCGGCCCACCTCGGCCACCAGCGATCGGGGCCAATGGGTGGTCGAGACCGCTCCTGCCTCCAGGCTGCTGTCGGTCGCCGCCACCAGGTCGTTCCACTGCAGCGTCCAGTCACTCTCCAGGAAGATGAGGAGGCCTCGGAACGCCTCGAGCTCCTGGCGGGCTTCGGGCCACAGCGCCCGCGGCTCGGCATGAGACTTCCGCATGAAATCGTAGACTGTATGAAATACGCTCAACGTACCTCTGCTCAGCAATCCCGCAAACGTGCAGTGGCCCACCAAGACCTCGACCGCCCAGCCAGTGAGGCGGCGGCGTCGCAGGAGGCCGTTCAGGGCCTGCCGAATGAGCCAGAACCTCTTCTGCGTCACCCTCGTCTTCCAGAGGGCCCCCGAGACCTCGGTGCCCAGCGTCTCGACCTCGGTGCCCACGGAGTTGCCGTGAAGGAGGAGGCCGCGCTGGTCGAAGCCCTCAATCAGCTGCGCGATCGCGTCGGTGACGATGGGCTCGTCGGTGGAGGCCACGCCCAGGTTGAGGACGTACACATAGTGCGAGACGTGGCCTCTGGGGACGCTGGGACCGAAGACGGGGGGCCTGCCGCGGTCGGTCAGGGGGCTCTCACGCAGCTGCGGGCAGATAGAGCTCGCCTGGTACTCGTTGATCCGCTGGGCAGCCCACAAGTTCCACGTGAAGCCCATGGGGAAGACGGCCCAGCACGGACTCACCATATCGTGCCTCTCCAGTGTCCTGCCCTCCCAGATCTGGCCCTCCGCGTCAAGCAGGTGCGCTGGCACGACGGGAAGGCAGAAATACTCGGAGAGCCACCCAGGAAGTCGCAACCTGTGGAAGCAGTCCTTCACGTCGGCCAGGCCCACGTGCAGGGAGTAGCTGCCAAGGAGCCGCTCCGCCTCCTCGCTCCAGGGGCCCAGGCCATCCGGCAGGGCGATCTCGACTCGGCTGAGGCCCTCCGTACTCAAGAGGCTGACGCCTGGCGGCGGCTCGAATAGAAGGTTCGCGGGCCTGGCGTCGAGGATGAGCTCGAGCCGCTGACCTCCGTCCTTCTCGACAAAGAAGAGGCCGACCTAGCATCGCGGGCGCGTGGTCCAGCCCACCAAGCCGCGTCGGCGCAGGTCGCTGATGAACTGTCTGTAGGTCTTCACGCTGCGCTTCAGCGCGGGGTCGAAGTAAGGTGTCACGGTAGAGGAGGGACTGTCAGCGCGCAGCATGCGCTCGGGATGCCCCTTCAGGAATCGCTGGACCTCTGGAGGGGCCACGTCCTCAAACGGCGGGCAGCCCTCCACTGTCTCGGGTAACGAGACAAGGCCCTTTCTGAAAGGCGCGACACGGGTGAGGCACCCCGTCCCGTCGTACGGTGTGTGCCCTCGCAGCAGCCGTCGGACGGCCGCGCGTTCGCTGAGGGCGTCAGGACCTGGGTGCCGCCGTGAGGCTAACTCGCAGATCCGTTCCAAAACTTCAAGCTGCATCGGGTCGGGATCGAAGTAGGTCGGTCCGTTCCGAAACCCAGCAAGCCAGTTCAAAGCATCCACCGCCTCGTTACCCATCTTGAACACCAGCCTCTCGCGCCGCCGCAGGGCCATACTCCGAATGGGGCCGGCCACGGGCAGCTCAGGCAGGCGCCAGCGAGGCAGCGGGAAGAGCTCCCTGGCACAGCGCGAGGCGGCAAGCCGACCCCGCGTCACCCCTGAATCTCGGCCGGGGACGGGGTTCCCCCCGGCCGTGGGGGCCATCATTGCCCCTTGGGGCGTCAGCCCCCCCCGAGCCTCCCTTCTGGTTCTTCGGTGGCGGGCGCCCTAGCCGACCCTTGCCGCCCTCGTCGTTGGTGCCGTCGCCCTCGGCGCGCTGCGGGCCCTTGCCGTGCGAGAGCACCGCCTGGGCCTCCTGCTGCTCCATGATCTTCCTGGTAGCGAACTGCAGCAGGGCCTGGCCCGCGATGTCGTCCGAGGACGCGGCGCCGGTGCACAGGCGGGCGCGGCCCCGCGCAGGCTTGGCCGGGTCGGAGTACACCGCCACCAGCCCTGCGATCCTCCTCGCCGCCGTCTCCAGGCACATCAGGCCGCCTAGATTCACCTGGCCGTAGACCGCGGCCCAGAAGAGGACGTCGCAGAGGACGCGCATCTCGTGCGCCACTCTGTCATTGTCGCCGATGCCTTTGGACCTCAAGAAGTCCCACAGCCAGGATCTGGGGTCGCCGTTCGTGCGCTCCATGTTCTTGCATACCGTCAAAGCCGAGGCTGGCCCCTCGATGGGCTGGTCGGGGAAGGTCTCTTGCGAACTCTCCCGGCAGGCGGTCCTGAAGGGCTTGTACCTCTCCCCCTGCGCGTCGTAGTCCACCTCCAAGATGCGAAGATCGCCGCCGTCGCCGCCCCCAGCCCCGGGCGGAGGGGTCGCCGTGCCGCCGACCTCGTCTGGCTTGCCAGCACCTCCGGCGCCCGCAGGGCGGCCCAGGCGCTCGCGGAGGTCTGCCATCCCGGCGGGGGCGGCTCCCTCTCGGTCGGGCTCGGCGGCGGGGAAGTCGCTGAGGCCCATCTCGTGCCGCCGCCTCGCCGCATAGCCCGGGAGGTCCCCCGCTAGCAGGGCCTCTACGCGGCGGGGGCCCTCAGGGAACGCGAAGAGGCCCACCAGCGCGGTCGCCGGCACGAAGCGGTCATCGGAGCGATCCACGGCGGTGCCCACCGCCGCGCTCTCCGTGGGCTCGGCCACCACCCAGACGCGGTCGTCCTCCAGCGGGGCCGCGGGCTGCTTCCCTCGCTGCCGTCGCAGCGCGGGCCGCCTCACCTCGCCGAAGAAGTCCGCCCACTCCACCAGCCTGTCGTCCGGGCACGCCACCTCAGCAGGCGGCCCAGGCGCGATCCCCGGCAGACGCTCCTCCACCAGCGCGCGACCCCGCATGATCGCCGCCTTGAGCTCCTCCACCGAGAGGGGCGCCCGGAAGCGGTAGATCGGCCGCGGCCAGCCCTCGGGCGCGCCTCCGCCTGCTGGCATCAGGGCTGCGCCCTCGGGCCCAGTCTCCGGGCTCGCGCCCGTGTAGTCCTCCTCGTACTCGTCGCCGTCAGGTGTCAGCGCGGCCCAGGTGCCCGGCGGCAAGCTCGGGTAAAGGAGCACGCGCTCGTGATCCACCTGATCGTCACTATATCTTACGACGAGCCGCTGTCCCGGCGACAGCAGCCTCCACCACTCCAGCCCCTCGTCTCGCGGGAGCAACGCCATCACGCCCTCCGATCACCGTCTCCGCAGCCTGGGGCCTTCGGCGACAGTAGCCTCGCACGATGCGATACGCCTCCAGCAGCAGCGCCACCAGCACGCCAGGGGCCGCCGCCAAGAGGGCGCCGAGCGGGTCCGTCTCAGGCTCGGCCAGGGCCTGCACCAGCTCGGGGGCCGGGCAGACGGCGGGGGCCGCCTCGCAAGGCGGCGCCTCGGGACAGGGAGGGCAGGCGTCCCCTCCGTCCTCGAGCGGCAGCCACACGGGCGGGCACACGGCCTCCAGCGCGCAGGGCGGCAGCCCAGCCGATGGGCGCGGTCCCGCGGGTGAGAGGAGCGAGGAGATGTGGAGAAGCCCCAGCGCGAGGACAGCCCAGTGTCTCGCTGGGACCTGGGCCATCTCGAACCGAAGAAAGGCTATGGAGTCCAGGGGTCCCCCATTTCAATAGGTTCGTTTTTGACCTGTTTCATCAAGTCATTCCGCTCACAACCTTCCCGTGCACGCACTGACATACATACATACATACATACATACATACATACACACGTGCACATTTACACACATCGATACATACATGCATATACACATACATACGTGCGCACATACATACATACATACACATAGAATCACATCCATACACATACATACACACATACATCCACATGCATCCATACACATATACACATAATGCATACATACATACACACGTACACATAATTCCATCCATGCACATACATACATGCATCTATACACACGCCCATACATATTTGCACACATACATACACACATACATACATACCTACCTACATTCATACATATACAAGTACACACATACCTATATACAAACATACATACATGCATAACCACATACACGCTGACACACTTACGTACAAGCATACAAACATCCATCAATCCACACACGTATGTACATACAGGCACACATCCATACATACATGCACACCTACACACAAACATTACACATCCATGCGTACATACAGACATACAAACATACACACATATACACATTCAATATAGATAAGCGCATACACGTTTATATACATACCAGTGTATATATATACACACCCATTTATTCCTACATTATGATTCCTACTTCTCCTCCTCCTCCTCCTCCTCTTCCGCCGCCCTTCCGCCGTTGCTGCCGCGCACCTTCCGCGGGGAAACCTCCTCGCCGCGGCCTCTCCGCCTCGTTCCTCTCCCGCCGCCCCCCCCTCTCCCCTCCCCTCCTCGCCGCGCTCTCCGTCCCCAAAATAATATGTTTTACTTCCGTATCCTGCGGCCATCCTTCCGCCGGCTTCCGCCGAACCAAGAGATAACAACTTTATTAACTTTGGGAGAAAAGGGGGTTTCCGAAATCCCTCATATACACATATACACATATGCACATACATAACAGAAACTGTCGATCCCCCATTCTCCCAGATCCAAGGCGTCGTCTTTCGTTTTTTTTGTTTTCGCAGGGTGGGCCCCCAGAGGTTTGGCCCTCCACGAGGCCAGCTTTCCGTCGCGAGCCTTTTCTTTGGATGATCCTGGGGCCTGCCCACGGCCCCCAGAGGCCCAACACTGCCCGAGACCTCCCGCAGCGTTTTCTCACGACGCGAAGGGGTCTGGGCTCGCTGGCCCCAGGAGCGCCTGCGCCAGCATCAACGCTTCGGCCACGGCCTCGGCCTGGTCCACCAAGTGGCTGGCCGCTGTGCACGAGCGGCTCCGGCGGTGCCACTCCGCGAACGCGCGGTGCTTCGTCAGCATGCGCTGCGACCTGGTCCTCTCGGGCGGAGGAGAAGAGAAGAAGCTACATCTCCGATGTTTTTTTTTGTCGCTGGTTTTGTTTTTTGTCTTTCCCATCGGTCCTTTTTCCTTGAATTCCGCCTCTGGGGTCCGTGAATGGGCCCCGGGACCCTCAGAAGCCGATCCGGGGTGAGACACTGCCCGCCGGGAAGGCGTCGGATCTCCAGGGCCGCGCGTGGGGCACGTCATATGCGCGTCGGCCGCTAGAAGTGGGTAAACATATGGGAAACAACACACAGTGGGAACAAACACACACACAGTGTGTGTGTGTGTGTGTGTTGTGTGTGTTGTGTGTGTGAAACAACACACAATGTTTTTTTCCCACAGTTGTTTCCCACAGTGTGTGTTTTTGTTTGTGTGTGATTTTTTTGTCCGTCATGCACGTCGGCCGCTAGAAGTGGGTAAACACATGGAGCAGCGGGTCCAGTAGATTGGGCTCGGGCCCTCCCACAGAAGACCCAAACGCAGCAGAAACGTGTCGGCTCGTGAGGTAGGAGGGCGCTCGAGGTAGATTGGGACCAGGGAATCCATCGACTACACGCAAGAGTGACCCTGGGCAAGAGTGACCTTTGGTGCGCGGCTTTTGGGCGGCGCGAGCGGGCCAAACCCAGGCGCGTAAGAGGCTACTATCGCATCGCGTTCGGGGATCGGGGAACCCCATTGGGCCCGCACTAAAGGTCACTCTGGCGAAAGGTCACTCTTACGTTTGGTCGAATCCAGGAACTATCTACCTTGAACGGAGGAGGAGGAGGAGGAGGAGGAGGAGGAGGAGGAGAAGGAGGAGGAGGAGGAGGACGAGGGATTGGGACCTGGGAATCCAGGAGAACATCTGCCTCGAACGACCGGCGTGTGCTTCGTCGGACGTCTGGGAAGCGGCAGAGGCGTAAACTCTCGGAGGCTTTTTGAGCGGGCTTCGCGGATCGGCGCCGCGCTCCGCGCGCCGGTGGGGGGGGGTGGGTCCAGCGCCGACCTGAGGAATCCACGCGGACCTCCAGCAGTTTAGATGTATATATATATGTATAGATATACTTATATATATGTGCTTATATATAGATACTTATATATATATATATTTATGTGTGTCGTCTGTTTGTACCTTCTGGTGTCCTCTGCCGTACAGCCTGAATGGTCAACGCCTTCGGGCGCAACCCGGACCAAGCCACGAACACGCCCCTCGCATTGATCCCCGCTGATCTCGGAGCCCGCGCGTCCAGGGCCTTCAACACCGCGTCAATGTTGTGACTGTTCGCGACCAGCTGGTGCCAGGCAACGAAAATGCTCCTCGCAATCCTCTGCTCAAATCTGGGAGCCCACGCGTCCATGGCCTTCAACATCGCAATCGCATTGATTCTGCTCGCCAGCAGCCGGTGCCAAGCAACGAGGGCGTCCCTCGCAATCCTCCGCTCAAATCTGGGAGCCCAGGAATCCATGGCCTTCAACATCGCATTTGCGTTGATGCTGCTCGCCAGCAGCCGGTGCCAAGCAACGAAGGCGCCCCTCGTAATCCTCTGATCAAATCTGGGAGCCCACGCATCCATGGCCTTCAACATCGCATTTGCGTTGATGCGGCTCGCCAGCAGCCGGTGCCAAGCAACGAAGGCGCCCCTTGCAATCCTCTGCTCAAATCTGGGAGCCCACGCTTCCATGACCTTCAACATCGCATTCGCGTTGATGCGGCTCGCCAGCAGCCGGTGCCAAGCAACGAAGGCGCCCCTTCCAATCCTCCGCTCAAATCTGGGAGCCCAGGAATCCAAGGCCTTCAACATCGCATTTGCGTTGATGCTGTTCGCCAGCAGCCGGTGCCAAGCAACGAAGGCGCCCCTTGCAATCCTCTGCTCAAATCTGGGAGCCCAAGCATCCATGGCCTTCAGCATCGCATTTGCGTTGATGCTGCTCGCCAGAAGACGGTGCCAAGCAACGAAGGCGCCCCTCGCAATCCTCTGCTCAAATCTGGGAGCCCAGGCGTCCATAGTCTTCAACATCGCAATCGCATTGATGCTGCTCGACAGCAGCCGGTGCCAAGCAACGAAGGCGTCCCTCGCAATCCTCCGCTCAAATCTCGGAGCCCAAGCATCCATGGCCTTCAGCATCGCATTTGCGTTGATACTGCTCGCCAGCAGCCGGTGCCAAGCAACGAAGGCGCCCCTCGTAATCCTCTGCTCAAATCTGGGAGACCAAGCGTCCATGGCCTTCAACATCGCATTTGCGTTGATGCTGCTCGCCAGCAGCCGGTGCCAAGCAACGAAGGCGCCCATCGCAATCCTATGATCGAATCTCGGAGCCCAGGCATCCATGGCCTTCAACATCACCTTGGCATTGAAGCTGCTCGCAAGCAGTTTGTTCCACGCGACGAATGCAGCCTTGGTCGTCCTCTTCTCTGATCTCGGAGCCCACATGTCGGTAATGGACTTCAACACCAGCTTGGCTTTGAAGCTGCTCGCGAACAGCCAGTACCAAGCAACGAACGCGGCCCTCGCAAGTTCCTCCTCTGATCTGGGAGCCAACGTGTCCATGGCCTTCAACATCAGCTTGGTGTTGAAGCTGCTCGCGAGAAGACGGTACCAAGCAACAAATGCGGTCCTCATAGCGAGTTGGTCTGACCAGGGAACCCTCGTCTCGATGGCCTTCGAAATCAACTTGGCGTTGAAGCTGCTCGTCAGCAGCTGGTACCAAGCAACGAACGCAGCCCTCGCGACACTCTGTTCTGATCTGAGGGCCCAAGGGGCCATGGCCTTCTTCAACAACGCTATGGCGTTGAACTTGCTCGTGACCAGACGGTACCAAGCAACAAAGGCGTCCCTCGCACTCCTCTCCCTGGAACTGGGAGCCCACGTGTCGATGACCCTCAACATCAACTCGGCGTTAAGGCTGCTCTTCATCTGCTGTTTCCAGGCGAAGAAGGCTTCCTTCGCAATCCTCTCCTCTGAGGTGGGAACCCACGTGTCGATGGCCCTCAACATCGACTTGGCGTTGAAATCGCTTGCAAACAACTGACGCCAAACGACGAACGCGTCCCTCACAATCCTCCGCTCTGACTGGGGAGGCCACGCGGCGATGACCTTCAATATCATCTTGGTGTTGTAACTGCTCTTCAACTGCTGGTACCAAGCGGCAACGATTTCCCTTGCGATGCTCTCCTCCGACCTTGGAACCAAAATGTCCATGGCCCTCAACATCGACTTGGCGTTGCAGTTGCTTGCCAGCAGCCGGTGCCAAGCAATGAATGCGGCTCTCGCAATCATCTCCTCTGATCTGGGAATCAACGCGTCGATGGCCTTCAACGTCGCCTTGGCGTTGAAGCTGCTCGCGAGTTGCCGATACCAGGCGACGAGCACGCCCCTCGCGAGCATCTCTCTCGAACTGGAAGACCAGCCGCACAGAGCCGTGCGCGTCACCTGGGCAGAGGGAGACTGGGCAAATCAAATCGGGGAGCAGGAGATCACACGGCCGCGCGCCCGCAGAAACTCCAAGCTCACTGACAACTTTCAAGGTTCCCCTCAAAAGCCCCAACAACCGACGGGAACCTCCCCCTCCTCCTGCCCTCCCGCCCTCCCCCACCCTCCCCCTCCTCCCCCTCCCCCTCCCGCTCTCCATGCTCCTGCTGCTCCTCGCCCTTCTCCTCCTCCTCCTCCTCCTCCTCCTCCTCCATCCCTCTCCCTTGCAAGCCAGCTCCTCCCCGCCGCATCACGCCCAACGCATCGCGCGGGTGGGCCCGGCGACTCGCCCGGGGCCCTCTTGCCGTGTGCGATGCGGAAGCCTGGCAATTCCAGCAGCCTCACGGCAAGATGCACGGCGGATCATTGCAAGACGGGGCTCTCGCCGTGGCGCCTCGCGCGCTCGTCCAGAGCAGTTCCGACACCTGCGCGGGCGGGGGGGCGGCGCGTTCCCGGAATGGGGTTCTCTTTTCTGGGCGTCTCCTCCTCCTCCGCCTCCTTCTCCGCCTCCGCCTCCACCTCCGCCTCTGCCTCCGCCTCCTCCTTCTCCTCCTCCTCCTCCGCCTCCTCCTCCTCCTCCTCCTCCTCCTCCTATGTCTCTTATAGCTACATGGATGGATGGCGGTTCCTCTTCAACACGGGGCTCTCACTGGACACTTCTTCGGCCATCATCCTCAGATGTCAGCTTGTGCAACAATTGCACGGACGGAAGGCAAGCCCTCGGCAACATGAGGCACTCGCCTGGGACTCCTTTGGGTACAGGAGCAGCAGTCTAAAACTGTGCAACCATTCCACGGATGAGTGGCAGTGGGGCCGCCAAGGGACACGTTATTGAGCTTTCAGCTCCCACTTTGTGGCGACCTTACTAACTCGAAGGACGGATGGCCTTTCCTGTTCAAAGCCGAGCTCACGCCTGAAGTTCGTGCCCACGCGGCGCTGTCTTTCGGGGGGGCGCTCCGTGCAGTGGGCAAGAAAACTTTCAAGGGCGTGCGAGGAAGGGGCTCTGAACGGGAAGGTGCATTGCAACGTCGCTGCTGCACCGTGGGTTTACTCTGGTCATCCTCCATTTCCCCTCTTCTGCTTTTTTCTCCCTGCTCTCTGTTGCCCCCGCCCCCTGCTTTTGCACACTCCTTCTTATCCTCTTCCTCCTCCTCCTCCTCCGTCACCTCCCCTATTATTCCTCCTTCTATTCCTCCTCCTCCTCCTCCTCCTCCTCCTCCTCCTCCCCGGCCGACAAGAACCCGACGCGGCCCACAGTGACCGACGAGGGACGGGGAATGGGCGAGAACCAGCTGGGAATAGGAGGACGATCGCATCACCCGACGAGGCTTGGGTGGTAGAACGAAGGGGGGATGAGGAGGAAAATGGGGATGTGGATGGGGGAGGAGGAGGAAGAGGATGATGATGATGATCATGATGATGATGATGATGATGATGATGATGATGATGATGATGATGATGATGATGATGAGGAGTAACACACAAATGTTACTTGCCTCGGTGCTGTACAAGCACCTGTGGCACGTGTGATCACAACGCGCACCGCCTTGTCTTGCTCATGAGCCGGCGTCGCCTGTGGCCGAAACAGGAAGTACGTACTACCGTTGAATCGGGGGGTGGGGCAGCCGAACCCGACCGAACAAAGATGGCGATGGACAGCGGAGAAGCCGTGAACTGCGATCGGTACGGTCAATGATCGCGTGACTTTTCTGATGAGGCGACTTTTCCTTACGACAACCACTTTGGTCCTCCTGATCTTTATTCGTGGGAGGGTCGCAAGGCTGCGCCAAGGCTGTAAGAGACTGGACAGGCTCAGCGGCTCGATGTGGCGCCCCACGTGGGCGCCCACGGCTTATAGCACGGACTAAGTCTCGTATATCAAACGGCTCTGAGGTCGTCTTCGGCACGGAACTGCCAATCCGCTTACGTGGTATTGTCGGTGATGACCTGCTGCAACATGGCCTCGACCACGATCATATCCAACTCATGCGGCCACTCCGACGCCTGGGCGGACCTCGAACGGTGGCAGTTCTGTTCCCTCAGCTGCTCGTGCTTGGGGCATCCTTTGCCACAAACTCCGTCCGGAGCGTCTGTCAGAGTCCATGGTAATGTCAACCCTCATGGGCTTCATGTTTGGCAGGCCGCTCTCGCTATCCTTGTGCCCGAACTGGCAACCACCGAAGTCGGCGACCTTGAGCGCCCCGTTGTGTATCAACTAGTGAATGCCCTGCATCTCGGGGTTTCTGGTTTAGGGCTTCAGGGCCGGTTTTGGAGATCAGGGTTTGGGGTTGGTCTAGGGTTTGGAATTTAGGGCTGGCGTATCTGGGGATACGCCAGGGTTGGCGTATCTGGGGGGTGCGCTAGGGTTGACGTACTTGGGAAATACGCCAGGGTTGGCGCATCCGGGACGGGCTGGCCCGTGGTCTCCGAACCCCCGGGGGGGCGCTCCGTCGCGGCTCCGTGGCCTCTCCGAGCCCGCTGGGTCACGGCCCGGTTCGCACGCGGCAGGACGGGTCGGCGATGCTCGCGCTTCTTCGCGATCATGTGAGGGATGAAAAAAACGGCCCTACCCTGGGTTACAAGTGCGTGGTCTGTAAACCTCCTGGGAACCCCCAAAGCCTAGAGCCGCCAGGACGCGGCACATCACGCAGGGTTTACCCTGTCAGCCCACAGGAGTTTCAGCGCACAGCACCTCGTAAACCAGGGTAGGGGCGTTTTTTATCCCCTTGATCATGGGCAACAGGTCGCTGATCCCCCTGCTCGTCATGATTCGGCTCCAACTGTCCCGCGGCGAGCACGGGTGGGTCACCGCCAGACAGCAGGGCTCTTCAGTCGGGATCTCCTTGTCGTGCATCCTTCGGCCGCGCAGTCGCGTCCCAGCCCATGTTCTTGTCGGGGGGTGCCCTGGCGGTGCCGCCCATTGCCGACGTGAGCAGGGTGAGTCCCATCTGGCCTGCGAAGGTCTGCTTGACCCAGGAGCGGCCGCCCATGGGAGACCTTGCTCTGCTAGAAATATGTAAGACAGCGGCCTAAACAACGTCGTCGCTGATGGCGGTCCTCTGCGCTAGCGGCTCGATCTTCTTGTATTTCCTGCTGGGGGGCTAGTGGGTTCCCGGCGCGCGACCTCTACTGAGAACACTTCGGGGCCCATGTCATTGTCCGTGGTGGTATGTAGGGCGGTGGGCGGTCTGCTCGGATCGCTGTCGAGGACGTCGGCGTAGTAGGTGTTGCTAGGGCAGGCAATGTCGTCCATCTCCTCGGTCGCCTTGGCGTGGAACGGTCTGTGTCCTCGCTCATGGTTGCCTGCTGTGCTGCGTCGTCGTCGTGGCGGACGGGGGGATCGAGCGCGTCGGTCGCGATGTGGCCAGCTGAAGTGCGATGTAGTTTGAGACCGTTGACGCCTGCGTGGGCAAAGTCCACCGTGTCACCGGTGCTTTCAAGGTTGGGTGCTTGCTCCCAGCCTGTTGCTGGGCTCGCGGTTGAACTCGGCGTCTCGGTACCTTGACTAGCCCGGCAGTTGCAAGTGCTCAAGCCACGCCGTCGATGCGAGGGTCAAAACCGATGCCGGGACGAGGGTCGATCTCATACTCGATCTTTGTTGTCATGGTCATCTTGCGGTGATTGGTTGAAATATTGTGCTCCCACGGGCGGTCATGCACAGGGTGATCATGAGGTACCCCAGAAGTCTAAGAGCTGTCGACAGTTGGCGTGCACAACGCGCTTGTCGCAATCTTGGCTCTTGGTGCGCTTGAAGAACCCACTGACTGCCTTCTGGAAGGAATTCTTCCCAATCAAATGGGCCGTGACGTGCTCGCGTGACTCGTCCATGTCCAGCTTGGACTTCTGAGCCATGAGGCTCTCGCGCTCGCATACCTGACGTTCGTTCTCACCGTCTTCGTTTCTAGGGTGAAGTAGTTCGCTGCAGGCTTTCTTGGTCCTGCTCGCTAGCGTGAGCTCTTCGGCTTCGGACGAGCCGGGCCCCCTTGCCATTGAATGAACTCCTGCCGGCTGCGCGCTGCGTCTTCTTCTGGGGCCCCTTGATGTGCTGACGGCGGGCGTTCTGTTGATGGTCACCGAATCCTTGATTCGAACTGCTGCTGCGCGTCGGTGTCGGGTGTGGCGGTCTGCGGTCTTGATCTCTGCTCCTTTTGCGCTTGCTGCTTTTTTGGCACATCCCTTGCCATGGGAGTGGCTTCGGCAATGGAGCGATTGTTTGTTGTGGCGTGGCGGTGGCTTCTTCTTTTTCCCAACCATCCTGTGGTGTTGGGTCTTCGTTTTGAAGAGACGGTGCCCCGCGTCTCCTTCTCCTCCCGCTGCCCCCTCCCTCCTCCCCCTCCGTGCCATTACGAAGGTCCCAGTGGCGCAGGTTGCATGCGTCCCCCCACCCAGGACAGCGTTTCGTGGCCCCATAGGGAGCCCCACCGAAGGTCCCAATGGCGCAAGTTGCATGCGTCCCCCCATCCAGGACAGCGTTTCGTGGCCCCATAGGGAGCTCCACCGAAGATCCCAGTGGCGCAGGTTCCGTGCGTCCCCCCACCCAGGACAGCGTTTCGTGGCCCCATAGGGAGCTCCACCGAAGGTCCCAGTGGCGCAGGTTACATGAGTCCCCCCCCCACCCAGGACAGCGTTTCGTGGCCCCATAGGGAGCTCCACCGAAGGTCCCAATGGCGCAGGTTGCATGCGTCCCCCCCGCCCAGGACAGCGTTTCGTGGCCCCACAGGGAGCTCCACCGAAGATCCCAGTGGCGCAGGTTCCGTGCGTCCCTCCCACCCAAGACAGCGCTTCGTGGCCCCATAGGGAGCCCCACCGAAGGTCCCAGTGCTACCGTCCGCATGCGTCCCCCGCGCCCAGTACAGCGTTCCGTGGCCCCGCAAGGAGCCCCGCCGAAGGTCCCAGTGCTACCGTTCGCATACGTCCCCCACACCCAGTACAGCGTTTCGTGGCCCCTATAGGGAGCTTCGCCGAAGGTCCCAGTGCTACCGCATGCATGCGTCCCCCCCTGTGCAGCGCTTTTGTGGCCCCATAGAAAGCCCCACCGAAACTCCTGGGACTGTCCGCATGCGTCCTGGAAGTTTAATTGGGCATTTCCACCCCACCCAGTACGGCGTTTCGTGGCCCCATAGAAAGCCCCACCGAAGCCCCCAGTGGGACTGTCCGCTTGGTCCCTGAAACACAATGTTGGTATTTTCACGCCACCCACTACGGCGTTTCGTGACCCCGTAGAAAGCTCCACCGAAACCCCCAGTGTGACCGTCCGTATGCGTCTCGGAAGCCCAATTTGGCATTTTCACCCACCCAGTACAACGCTTCGTGGCCCCACAGGGAGCTCCGCCGAAACCCCCAGTGGGACCGTCCGCATGAGTCCCGGAAACCAAATTTGGCACACCCCTCATACGTTTCGTGGCCCCATAGGGAGCTCCACCGAAGCCACCAGTGGGACCGCCCGCATGCGTCCCACAGACCAGGTTTTGCATTTTCTCCCCACCCAGTACGACGTTTCGTGGCCCAATAGGGAGTTCGCCCGACGGCCCCAGTTCTACCGCCGCATGCGTTCCCCCCCACCCAGTACAGCGCTTCGTGGCCCCATAGGGAGCTCCACCGAAGCCCCCAGTGGGACCGTCCGCGTGCGTCCTGGGAACCAAATGTGGCACACCCCTCATACGTTTCGTGGCCCCATAGGGAGCTCCACCGAAGCCACCAGTGGGACCGCCCGCATGCGTCCCACACACACACACACACACCAAATTTGGCATTTTCACCCCACCCAGTACGGCGTTTCGTGGCCCCATAAGGAGTTCGCCTGACGGCCGCCCCAGTTCTACCGCCCGCGTGCGTTCCCCCCCACCCAGTGCAGCGCTTCGTGGCCCCATAGGGAGCTCCACCGAAGAAACTATTCACAATTGGGGTACCCACAACTGCATATGGTTGGGTCCGTCGCCAGGTTAATTGTTGAAGATGTTGTTGCAACTCTGCATTACGAGGACCAGGGCCTCGCCTGCCTCCGTGCTGTCTCCTACGTTCACGTCGGCGAAGTAGGTGTCGAGGTCGTCCTCTTCGTCCTCGTCGAATACTGAGCGGAGAGCGCGTACTCGATGCCTGAGATCGTCTATTTGTTGTTGCTCGCCAGGACTGCTGCTTGTTCTTTCATGCGGATGTCTGGTAATCGTAATATTAGCGCCGCTGGGACGTTCTTGCCGACTGTCGTCCTCGCTGACTTCGTTTCACTCTGCGAACTCCTTGCGGCGTTTGGTCACCTAGTTTGTCATCGTTTCGTTTCTGCATCGCCACATGGTAGAGCCATGCAGTGCGGTGTTGAATATCTCTGTCCAAAGTAGTGGAACGACGTTGGCGTCCTTTCTTCATTGGCTGTGCAGGTCGTGGCGGCGCAATTTTCATGCTGCTCCGTAGGCGGGCCGCTGAAACCAGCACGAAGATGTAGCGCAATGGCCGTCTGTTCGGGCCTCCTGGTTCTACCGTGGTAGAGGTCCCAGCAGCGCTCCTCGTTTTCCGTGACCCGTTCGGGCCTGCCTTCGCTCTGAGGACTGCCAGCCCTGTCCAGCTCGGTGAACATCTTCTTGTAGTACTGGCGAGTCAGGCCCAGGATTAGCGTTAAGTCGGGCGTGTCCCCCCCTACAGCGGGATTTTCGACGAAAAATTAAAAAAAAAAACCCAAAAAACCCAAACGGTCAAAACATGCTCCAATAACAGTCCCCAGCCTTTTTTTTTTTTTTTTTTTTTTTTTTTTTTTTTTTTTTTTTTTTTTTTTTTTTTTTTTTTTTTTTTTTTTTTTTTTTTTTTTTTTTTTTTTTTAAAAAAAAAAAAAACAAAAAAAAATATTATTATTTTATTTATTTATTTATTTATTACCATTTCTGAATATTCCCCCTGTAGAAGGACAGGCCCGACTCAATCGTAGCGCAGAAAGTCAGGTCGCAGGAGAAGGTGCCGTGGCCCGCGGCCGTCTCGGCAGCGGCCTGCTGCCCGGCCTCGCCCGAAGTGGCGGCTGGGGCCGTGGGCGCCCCGCGCCCGGGCGCGACGCGCGGCGGCGTCGCGGCGCTCGGCGGCGCCCACGGCGTCGTGGCGCTCGGCGGCGCCCACGGTGGGCCCAGAACCGATCAGGCTCCGCTTGCCATCCCGGTGCCCCTTGCGGGGCAGGAAGGTGATCATGCTGTCTCCCTCGAGCACACGAGGGCGCCCTGCAATATCGACGGTAATGTTAGTGATGGCAGGGCACTGTACAACAGATCTTCCTCAGATCATTGTTGTTGTGATGGTGATGGTGATGAGGATGATGACGGTGATGATGATGGTGGTGCTGATGCTGATGATGCTGATGATGATTACGATGATGCTGCTGATGATGAGAATGCTGATGCTGATGAGGGCGATGATGATGCTGATGCTGCTGATGATGATGACGATGATGGTGATGATGATGCTGCTGCTGATGATGAGGATGAGGATGCTGATGATAATGATGATGACGATGGCGATGACGATGACGATGATGATGATGATGATGATGATGATGATGATGATGATGATGCTAATGATGTTAATGATGATGCTGATGATGATGAGTACGATGGTGCTGATGATGGTGATACTGAAACTTAGGATGATGCTGATGATGCTTATGATGCTGCTGCTGCTGATGATAATGATGATGATGATGGTGATGATGATGATGATGATGATGATGATGATGATGATGATGATGATGATGATGTGATGATGATGATGCTGCTGATGCTGATGTTGATGTTGATGTTGATGATGATGATGATGATGATGATGATGATGACGATTCGGATCATGATTGCGACGATGATGAGGGGGATATGGGAGAGGAGCAAGGAGAAGAGCGGATATGCAGGATGAGGAGGGGGAAGGAGGACGAGGAGGAAGGACACCACGAGAAGGAGGATGAGGAAGACGAGGTCGTCGTCGTCGTCGTTGTCGTCGTCGCCCTGCCGGGCGTGAAGCTGGCGCCGCCCAGCGCGAGCGCCAGCCGGCGGGCGCCCCGCAGCTCCCGCGCCAGCCCGCGCCACGCCGCCGTGGCCTCTCCGCCGTCATCGGCGTCGCCGTCGTCGGCCGTTGCCGTCGCGTGTTGTCCGTCGTCGTCGTCGTCGTCGTCGTCGTCGTCGTCGTCGTCGTCGTCGTCGTCGTCGTCGTCGTCGTCGTCGCGGCAACAACAGGCCGCCTCGCTGGAGACATCCCCGCAATTTGAGCGAGGAGAAGGAGGTGAAGGAGGACCAGGAGCAAGGGAGAGGAGGTAGGAGTGGAGGATGAGGACGAGGGTGAGGAAAAGTGAGAAGGAGAAGGAGTAGGAGAAGGGTGAGGAGAAGTAGAAGGAGGAGAAGGAGGAAGATGAGGAGGAGGAGGAGGGGGAGGAGGAAGAGGAGGAGGAAGAGGAGCAGACGTGGCCTGAGGCGCGCCGATCCATCCGCAGAGAAGAGGCCAGCGCACGAACTTTGCTTGGGGGAGGGCCTCGCCACGATCGAGCAGCGGACCGCGGGACACGACGCCCGACCAGAAGCCTCTTCCTTGTCCTGCTTCGTTGCGACTTCGGCTGTGGGCTCTGCTGTGACCTTCTGCCGCCTGCTGAGGGGGGGGACGGCGAGGGAGGGAAGGGGGAGGCCGCAAGAGAGATGGGGGGTGGGCGACCTTCCCTGGCGACAGCCATCCCGCATGGGGTCCGAGCAGACGGGGTCGGAGGATGGCGCCGCACCGCCGATGCCTCGGTGCTACCTCGGCGAGACACGGGCGAGACGTCGGCGCGGAGCACATGGGGCTCCCCCCATCGAGCCGCATCGCCCATGCGCCGCGATCCTCCGACCCCACCGCCATCGGCTGCCAGGCGATCGAGAAACCGACCGACCAGGCGACGACGACGACGACGACGACGACAATCACCTAGGTCATCTGACTGCGCGGCATCGCGCCGCCGCCCTGGAAACAGCGCCTCTCCAGCCCAAGCCGTGGGCGTGATCCTCTGCACGCCCCATGGGGCGGACCTGCGGTCGGGAACCTTTGCTCAGCGTGTCGCCCCGGCGGCCCCGGCGACACGCTGTGCCCTGCAAGCGGACAGCGTGTCACTCCGCTCTTCGCGGGGGCGGGATGCTCGGGACAGCTCGGGACGTTCATGCTTGGGACTGGGACGTGGATGGCGTGTCGCGCCGAAGCGTGGTGGGCCGGAGCTGGCGGAGCGACACGCGGAGCCCGAGTTCCTGACCGTAGCTCACGGCGCATGCGGAGACGAACCAGGGAGACGTGCGCCGCAGGAGAAAACGCACAGATGCTCTCAACGGTGCTGACATTGGGCTCCCCACTGGACTCCGCTACAGTCGGGCTGCTGAAGGAAGGAACGAAACATAAGGAACGAAGCCCCTTTTTGGCCCCCAGAGCGCCTCCGTTCACGAGGAGGGCTAGAAGAGCAGCCGTAGGAGGACCTGAGGAACATCGAGCCCCTTCCGAATCCAAACTGTTCCTTACTGCAGCGTCACTGACCCAGGGTGCAGCCTCGCTGAGACAGCGGGCAGGCGCCGCTCCAGGGCAGGTGCGCAGTGTGCGCACGCGGCGTGCGGAGCCGCACGCGGGGGCAGGCGGCGCCCCGCCCGCACGGAGGCCCTGGCAGGAGGGGGGTGGGGCGGCTCTTCCGCCTGATCTCAGGAGGAGGAAGGAGGAGGAGGAGGAGGAGGAGGAGGAGGAGGAGGAGGAGGAGGAGGGGGAAGATGAGGAGGAGGAGGAGGAGGAGGAGGAGGAGGAGGAGGAGGAGGAGGAGGAGGAGGAGGAGAGGAGGAGGAGGAGGATGAGGATGAGGATGAGGATGAGGAGGAGGGGAATGAGGATCGAGGAGGAGGAGGAGGAGGAGGAGGAGGAGGATCGAGGAGGAGGAGGAGGAGGAGAAACCCTACGTCTCGCAGCTCTCGGGCTTCTTTCGCCCGAAGAGCGGCCCGGCCGCCGCCGAGCGGCCTGAGACAGCGACGCCAGGCGGGCACCCCGCCCACCGCCGAGGTGCGCCAGGCGGTCGAGGTGCGAGCAGAGCCTGGGGTGCGGGGGGATGCGGGGCAGTGGGCAGGGGGGAGGACGAGCGGGACGCAGGGGTGAGGGAGAGAGAGAGGGAGGGCGGGAGGAACAGGACAAGGGGGAGGAAGAGGAGGAGGAGGAGGAGGAGGAGGAGGAGGAGGAGGAGGAGGAGGAGGGAGGGAGGAGGAGGAGGAGGAGGAGGAGGAGGAGGAGGAGGAGGAGGAGGAGGAGGAGGAGGAGGAGGAGGAGGAGGGATGGGGAAATAGTCTGTTGCGAACTTTTCGAAACGGAATTGCGCGGCGCTATGGCGAGAACCGCAGTTTGAAACCTACCCGCCCTCCATCCATGAAGCTGCAGCAATTGTTCAAGCGAATTCGAGCGGTGTTTAGGCGAGAACAATATTTTGTAAACCACCCGCCCTCCATCTGCGAAATTGCTGCAGCTTTCAGACTTCAGGGTTATGAGTGGTGGCTAAGTTTCAAGCGCAACGCCCGCCCCGTCCTGACGACACGTTTGGGTGCGACAGGGAGGAAATATTTATAGGGAAACGTGGTGGGAGGAGGAGGAGGAGGAGGAGGAGGAGGAGGAGGAGGAGGAGGAGGAGGAGGAGGAGGAGGAGGAGGAGGAGGAGGAGGAGGAGGAGGAGGAGGAGAGGAGGATGAAGAGAAGAAGATGAGGTGGAGGAGGAGGAGGAGGAGGAGGAGGAAGAGACGAGGATGAAGAGGAGGAGCATGAGGGGGAAGAGGAGGAACAGGAGGAGGAGCAGGGGGAGGAGGAGGGGGAGGAGGAGGAGGAGGAGGAGGAGGAGGAGGAGGAGGAGGAGGGGGAGGGGGAAGCGGACGTACTTGCACTGCATGGCAACACTCGGCCTGCAGCCGTATACAAGTCACTGCCGCGCAATCTCTATCACGTATTTTCAATAGCACCCGTGTCAACACGTGCACTGAGCGCTGCCATGGCGCTTTGCTCGGGACAACTATACGGTCGGGAACTTTGGGATAGCGTGTCGCTCCGCTGGCTTTGGCCCACCACGCTTCGGCGCGACACGCTACGTGCCAAATTTGCGGTCCCTAGGCGTCCACGTCCCGAGCCTATCCGAGCCTCCCACCCCGCGGAGCGGAGCGACATAACGTGCCGCCGGTGCCACAATGGCGACACGCTGTCCAACAATTCTCGACCGTTTGTTACTTCGGCTTGGACCCGTGATATTGTGAGTCCCTTCGCTGTTGAAGAAGCATCCACAGCTGAACCTTGTGCAGCGTCCCACGTCACTCTTTCGAAGTCGCCGTCTGCATAGAAGATCCCCCAGGAACTCATCGAAATGGTGCTCGAGCGCCTCCTTTCGGCGCTGGTGAGTCCCCCATATTCTTGATAGCCGCGGGCACCGGAAGGGGGGGATCAGTATCCCCCCTTTCTGCCCGCAGCGCGCAGGTCCTTCTGCAGCACGCGTGCGCCGCAGAGCCTGTGTCTGAGCCACAGCGGTGGCGGAGAACCTGGCCTTCGACTCCTTGCTCGGCCGCGCCTCCTGCGCGCTACCAGAGTGTGTCCGCATCCGCTGCCGCGGGGTCGTGTCCCAGGGTCTCGGGAAGCGGTTGACTGGATATCTGCCCGCCCAAACGGGCGGGTAGATATCCATGCTAGCCACTCGTCGAGGTTCCCGCCTCACACAGAGAAGAGGACGCGCGCTGCTGGGCACTGCAGGGGTGGCCGCAACTGCAGCGCCCTGTCTGGCCCAGAGCGGCGGGGTCGGGGACGCGGCCGAGGGGAGGGGACGAGGACGTGGTCGGGGAGGAGCGGTTGACGCACGAGCAAGGGACCGCCCCCCCGCGCGCCTAGTCTCAGGGAGGAGGAGGAGGAGGAGGAGGAGGAGGAGGAGGAGAAGGAGGAGGAGGAGGAGGGGGAGGAGGAGGAGGAGGACAAGCTAGGTGCGCTCGCGTCATATCTGACGTCCTACCCCTCCCTCCCATCCCTTCCCTACCATGGCGCTGATTTTCTCTATCCGCGGACGCGTGTCGTAGCGGACCTGTGGCTCGCGCGCGCGTAGTAGTGTGGTGGTGCACGTGCGTGCGTGCGTGCGTGTGTGCGTGGTTGTCGTGGTGGTGGTGGTGGTGGTAGTGGTGGTGGTGGTGGTGGTGGTGATGGTGGTGGTGGTGGTGCTGATGGTGGTGCTGGTGGTGCTGGTGGTGGTGGTGGTGTTGGTACTGGTGCTGGTGCTGGTGGTGGTTGTGGTGGTGGTGGTGGTGGTGGTGGTGGCGGTGCGGCGCGGTGGTGGCGGGCAGATGGGCGCGCGAGAAAAAGGCCCGCGCTGGGGCGAGAACGCCATCCTGAACGACGGAGGCCAAACACCGATCCGAAAATGAGGCCCACGCTGCAGCGGGAGCACGATTCGGAACGATTCGGGAGCAGAAATGAGGCCGGCGCCTCAACGAGAGCAGCATTTTTGGGAAAAAATGACGCCGGCGCCTCAGCGAGAGTCGTTTCCCGGGATTTCCCGGGAATCCTGTGTAAAAAACAATACGCGGAGGGTGCGCGGCCATCACCCGGACGCCATCAGGGGAAGAGGGAGAGTATTTTCATATTGAGTAATTGTGGAGGAGGAGGAGGAAGGAGGAGGAGGAGGAGGAGGAGGAGGAGGAGAGGAGGAGGAGGAGGAGGAGGAGGAGGAGGAGGAGGAGGAGGAGGAGGAGGACGGGGAGGACAAGGAGGACGATGAGGAGACGTGCGCAAGCAAAAGGGGAGGAGGCGGATGATGATGATGATGATGATGATGATGATGATGATGCTGCTGATGATGATGATGATGTTGATGATGTTGATGTTGATGTTGATGATGATGATGATGATGATGATGATGATGATGAGAGGAGGATGAGGAGAAGGAAAAGGAGGGCGAAGGGGAGAGGGAGGAGGTGGAGAAAGGGGTGTACGAGAAGGTCGACGAGGAGAGATGCTGATGATGCTGATGATGCTGATTATTATGATGATGATTGTTATGATCATAACAACGATGGTGGCGATGCTGATGATAATGCTGCTGATAGTGGTGCTGACGCTGATGTTGATGATGCCAATGATGATGATGACAACGATGATGACACGGATGATGTCGTTGATGATGCTGATGCTGTTGCTGGTGATAATGATGATGCTGATTATGATGATGACGATGGCGAAGATGACGACGCTGGTTATGCTGACTAATGATCCTGATACTGCTGATGATGGCGTTGTGGCTGTCAATGAGGATTGTGATTCGGCTGGTGATGATGGTTATAATGACGATGACGATGACACTGACGATGATGATGGCGACGATGAGGATGCTGCTGCTGATGATGATGATTACGCTGATGATGCTGACGACGATGATGATGACGATGATAATGCTGCTGCTGCTGATGCTTATGATGATGAGGATGACGATGATGGTGATGATGATGATGACGTCTATGATGCTGCTGATGATTACGATGATGACGATTGTGATGCTGCTGATGATGATGCTGATGACGATTCGGAGTCGGATGATGATGATGATGCTGCTGCTGATGATGATGCTGATGCTGACGATGATGATGACGAGGAGGATGATTATGGTGATGATGATGATGGTGGTGGTTGCTGTGGTGATGATTAGGAGGAGGAGGATGAGGAGGAGGAGGAGGAGGAGGAGGAGGCGGAAGATGAGGATGAGGATGCCGTGATGCTGAGTGCTGTAATGCGTCCTTTGATGATGTTGATAATGCGATCTGGGCGAGGAGGAGGATGAGGAGGAGGAGGAGGAGGAGGAGGAGGAGGAGGAGGAGGAGGAGGAGGAGGAGGAGGAGGAGGGGGACGACGAGCTGGGTGATGAGGCGGGTGGAGATGAGGGCGAGGAGGGGGTAGGATAACCAAGAGCAGGAAGATGCGGCGGACGAGGAGCTACCTCCCTGTATAATCTCGCATCCGCCCCTCGCTGGCGCCCTCTGCTCCTCGTGCAGGCGTGGCTGCCGCGGTAGTCCGCCCACGGCTCGCATCAAACACGACGGTCACAGGCCACTGGCATCGTCGCCGTTGTAGTCGCCGTCACAATCGTAATCGTCGTCGTCATCACTGTCACCACTGAGATCTGGCGTGGCGAAACGTTGCAGAATCGTGCAAAATCATGGCCCGAATCGTTGGCTCCACATTCTGCGGCATTTCTCGAGCTGGATCGATCGGTGAGTGTCCCGGGGCCCGGAAAGGGGCGAAAACGCCAAAAAGCGGCACCCGGATCTCAAGGACAGTCGTGGTCTCAGTAGGGGTCTGAGTCGTGGTAGTCGTCACCGTCGTGGTAGGTAGGCAAGCGCGTTCCACTACTCGCACAGTAGCTACTAGTAGATGGCCTGGAGATGCATCGAGGCAACGAGACATCCATTGCATCGAGGCGCTCAGTCTCCATGGGACGTTTGCGAGTAGGCACCTTGCGAGTACTGGAGCGCGCTCTGTGGGCATCGTTCTTCGCCGCTAGGCCAAGGTCGGTTGACGGGGGCAGGGCTCCCAGACGTCCGAGGTCACGTCTCCTCGAGGTAGGGCCTCGGAGACCTCCTCCTCCCCCTCCTCCTCCTCCTCCTCCTCCTCCTCCTCCTCCTTCCCTCCTCCTCCTCCTCCTCCTCCTCCTCCTCCTCCTCTCCTCCTCCTCCTCCTCCTCCTCCTCCTCCTCCTCCTCCTCTCCTCCCCCTCCTCCCTCCTCCCCCTCTCCTCCTTTCCTCCTCCTCCTCCTCCCTCTCCTCCTCCTCCTCCCCCTCCTCCCCCTCCTCCTCCTCCTCCTCCTCCTCCTCCTCCTCCTTCGTCGCCATCGTGGCCGTCTTCGAGGCGCCAGAAGGCAAGCCGCCGGAGGGTCGCCTGGCGCGTGCCTCGCGCTGGGAGGCGTCGGCTCGCCGCCCGCTCGCGGCGTCGGCACACAGGCGCCGCCACGCGGCGAGGCTGAGCCTCGATTGGCTCGCCGGGCGGGGGGGTGGTGGAGTCGAGGGATGATGATGATGATGATGATGATGATGATGATGATGATGATGATGATGATGATGATGATGATGATGATGATGCTGCTGCTGCTGTGCTGCTGATGATGAGGATGATGATGATGATAGGGGAGGAGGAGGAGGAGGAGGGGAGGGGGGGAGGGGGAGGGGGAGGGGGAGGGGGAGGAGGAGGGGGAGAAGGAGGAGGAGGAGGAGGAGGAGGAGGAGGAGGAGGAGGAGGAGGAGGAGGAGGAGGGGCCTCCAGAGCCTACAGGAGGTCGAGGGGCCAGCTGAACGGGCAGCAGATGTGGGCAGAGGGGCCAATCATGGGCCCTTGGGTGAACCCGAAGACTGACATGGGGCGGGGCAAGGCTCGCTCGACGGGGCAGCTCCGCTTACATCAGACTGCTTGGATCTGGCAGCAAACTCGCCACGACCTTACGTTGAAGGGGCTCACATACAAATAAATAGACACAAATAACAAGATTGCCCTATATTTTCAATATTTTCTGGGCTCTTGTCCTCCTCCCTACTTCCCATGTTTTCCTATATTTTCTGCGGGATCGACAATTCATTGTGTCTGTTTTTTTTTTCCACTCCTGATACATAACCGTCCTGGCGGCCAACGCTGGGCCCTCCCGACGGGACAAAAACCCCTGGCGAAACGGGACAATCTGTTTCGCGCTTTTGCGCGACTCGGAAAACACTCAGAAACAAGATGGGGGGGATTAAGTCGTTGCATACTGACCGCAGGTGTGACAGAAAGTGGGGAAGAACTGGTCCACCATCCAGAGCGTGTGAAAAGGATGGACCTCAACTCCCTGAAGATTCGCGCCAACTCCTGGGGTAACAACAGCATGAGGAACATGAGGGAAACGAGGGCTCACGCGAACCTCCAGGGCTCCCTGGAGCCTGGGGGGGCCGAGTGGCAGACCTCGCAGGTCCACATATTACCCCTCTGGTGAGGGCTTTTGGTGGCGGCCAGCGCTGAACGGGCCATACACCCTCTCGGCACCAGTTGGCTGGGCACCTCCGCGCGATCAGCCATCGAGGCGATCAACGCACGTTTCGCGCATCGTCGGATCATGGCAGCAGCAGAATCGACTTCGCCGGCACGAGGCAAGGTCCTAACCACCCCCCTCTTCCACGCCAGCTCCGCCGCTTTCCCCGCCAAAATGTCGGCTGCCATGCTTCCAATGGCTGCCGTGGCTTCCTGCTCGCTAGCAAAGCTGATACGCTGGCCCGTGTGCGAAATAATTCGCCGCGCACGAATTTGGCCATGCCTGGAACGCCATGGTTTTCTTGCGCGCTCCCAAAGACCCTCCCGACGACGACTGGCACAAAGAGCGCGGATAACCTGGTCTCAGTACCTGGCGAGATTCTCAAGACCAATATCAAACCCAACGTTTCCCCAAATCCGTTCCAACAATTACTCCGACGGAAGGGCCCCGCATGGGAATCCTCTGGGCGAATCTGGAAAAACCCTCACCGTCGTCCTCGTGGTTGGTGAGGCGTCCTGGCTGTCTCTTCTGCGTATATTTCTTCTCGCCCTGGCGCGGGCCCTCCCCCCGCTCCCTACGTTGCCCCCGACCTCGCCCTCCTGTTTTTGTTTTTTCGCGCCCCGCCACCTCCTCGCCTTTCCATTGCATGAGCGCGCATGTCGGTTTTCCTCGGCGCCGTCGCCGCCTCGGCCAGCACAGGCGCGTTCTCTAATGGCCACGTCGCGCAGCCGTTGGGACAACCCCGCGGGTCAGGCTGTCGGGGCAACCCCGCGAGCCGTTTGCGCGCAGAACCAAGCCGCTGGGACAACCCCGCGGGCTTCGAGCGGGGCGCAGCCGCGCTCAGGCGGGCAGCGCGAAGCCCAGCTCTGCCGCGAGCTGCTTCGCCTCCGCCCTGGGCAAACCCGCTTTCTTGTCGAATTCCAGGAGCGCCTTCCGCAGGGGCGCCGGCGGCCCTCGCTCCAGGAACTCCCGCGGCGGCGGCCGCAGGATCAGCGTGTTCCGCATGCACGTGGCGCGGGAGAGCATGGCGTCGAGGTGCAGCCACCACTGCTCGTCCGACATGCCCGTGCGGCCAGCGTCCTCGTCTCTCGCGCAGTCGATGGTGACGCCCTTGCGCAGCGTCTGGCCCTGCGACAGCGTGGAGGTCAGGTAGGGCGCGTGCGTCAGGGTGAACCCCGAGCGGCGCACGCTGTGCGCCCCCGAGCTCTGCCATGTGAACTCCCTTTCGCTGGGCCTGAACATCAGCAAGCTCCGCGCCCGCGCCTGGGCCTGGCCGTCGTCGTCGGCGTCTTCGGCGCCCTGTCGCGGCACCTCGGCGACCTCCTGGTAGATCGGAGACTCCTTGAATCCGTGCACCTGCAGCCAGATTCCCTGCGGTAGGAAGCGGGGGCGAAAGAGCTGGCCTGCCGAGCACTCCTCGTGCCGCTGCTCGTCCTCGTGGTGGAACTCGAAAGACACGATGGTGGCCCGTTGCTCCTGTACGAGCCCCAACTTCTTGTTCAGCTCTTCCTGCGCTGCCGTGAACCGCACCTCCATGCCGACGTGGGCCGGCGAGGCGCCATGGATGTCACCCGTCTTGTGCATGTTCGGGACGTTCAGGAGGCGCCGACCCGCGTCGGGATCGCCCTGAATCGTGCCGCACTCGTCAACGGCCTGCAGGAAACGTGCGCGACCAGACGCCGAGCGTCGCGACGAGCACGCGTGTTCATCCACCTCGCAAGCGTTTCCCAGTTGATGCCCATGCCGTAGCCGAGCCGAAAGTTCTCGCGCTGGTGCCGAGGGTCCAGGACGCCGCGGTTGTCCGTGGCCAGCGTCTTCTCCCAGGCGGACCAGACCTCCGGTGGGAAGGGCTTGCCCTCGCGCGTGCAGTCCAGGAACGTGATCAGCGGGTCCCCAGGCTACGGTGGCGGCGACGGCGGCGGCGGCGACGACGATGGCCTCGTCTTCGTCCAAGGCATCGGCGCCCGAACACGAAAATGGAAAAAAGGGCATCGCTTCCTGCTTCAAGAAAACGAATGTAGATCGTACTGTGAAGCGTCCCAGTGGATACGTGCTGGAGCACGACCCAGAGGAAGCGCGCGGGAATGCGTCGCAGTGAATACCTGCCAGGGCACGACCCAGAGGAAGCGCGCGGGAGTGCGTCCCAGTGGATACGTGCCGGAACACGACCCAGAGGAAACGCACAGAGTGCGTCCCAGTGGATACGCGCCGGAACACGACCCAGAGGAAGCGCGCAGGAGTGCGTCCCAGTGGATACGTGCGGGGGCACGACCCAGAGGAAGCGCACAGGGGCGCGTCCCAGTGGATACGTGCCGAACACGACCCAGAGGAAACGCACAGGGTGCGTCCCAGTGGATACGTGCGGGGGCACGACCCAGAGGAAGCGCGCAGGGGTGCGTCCCAGTGGATGCGTGCCAGGAGTAGCGCTCTGGGAACACGACGAACACAAAATGGCCTACAGTTGGCTCCGGACATTCAGAGTGTGGCCCGGGAGTGGTGTTCTGGGAACACGAAGAACACGAAGTGGCCTACAGTTGGCTCCGGACATTCAAAATGCGGCCTGGGAATGGCGTTCTGGCAGCGCGAGAGGCCAAAAGTGGCGACAATTACAGGAATTGGATGACCCGCTCGGATTAATAACATGATCCGCGGGCCCCATAGGAGGGGGCCCCCGCTTGAGACTTCCTCGCAATTCACTCACAGACGAAGCCCAAGGCGAGTGAGTGAGTGCGTGAGCGAGTGACTGACTGACTGGTGATGATGCATTCAAGATGTGGCCTGGGAATGGCGTTCTGGCAGCGCGAGAGCCCAAAAGTGGCGACAGGTACAGGAATTGAATGACCCGCTCGGATTAGTAACATGATCCGCGGGCCCCATAGGGAGGGGGCTCTCGCTTGAGACTTCCTCGCAATTCACTCACAGACAAGGCCCAAGGCGAGTGAGTGAGTGAGTGAGTGAGTGAATGACTGACTGATGATGATGCATTCAAAATGTGGCTTGGGAAAGGCCTTCTGGCAGCGCGAGAGCCCAAAAGTGGTGACAGTTACAGGAATTTGATGACCCGCTCGGACTAATAACATGATCCGCGGGCCCCATAGGGAGGGGGCTCCCGCTTGAGACTTCCTCGCAATTCACTCACAGACGAAGCCCAATGCGAGTGAGTGAGTGCGTGAGTGACTGACTGACTGACTGACTAGTGATGATGATGATCATCGCACTCTCTCACGCGCACACTCATCATCATCATATGTGAGTTCATGAGCGTATGTGTGAGTGAGTGCTGATGAGTCAGTGAGTGAGTGAGTGAGTGAGTGAGCTAGTGAGTGAGTGAGTGGGCGCGCGAAGACAGAAGAGGAGAGGGGGTGAGGTGAGGAGGTTCCTGCGCGGGGTGTCCAGAGAAAACAAGAACCCCACTTTGGATGTGGGGAAAAAACAAAACGCCAGAAACTCGGCTCTCGGAGCTCTCTGCTTAGCACCTGCGAAGGGAAAAGCAACGCACAACATGCATAGACAGGTTCCCGTCAGCGTGTGGCGCCAGCGCCACAGTGGCAACCCCGCGGCGCAACCGACGGGTGTCAGACGAGTCTTTCCCTCCAGCCCGTCCCGTCCACCACAGCCCCCCCCCTTCCACGCGCTCGCCGAAGGCTCCTGGCAGGCTCAGCTCGCGCCCCTCCAGTGAGCCCTCGTCAACAACTGGCGTGGTCATTCGCACTGGCGGCGCGCCTCTGAGCCAGAATGAAGGCTGACTCCCGTGCTGGGTCAAGGCAGCTGGCGCCAGGGTGTCCGCGCGCGTAGCCGTCGTGATCCCCGTTGCGCTCGCAGGCCCAGATGCGGCGAGCAAGTGGTTCAGGAACTCGCTTGCAGCGCGGGCGGAGCTTCGACTCTAGTTTGTGGCCGCAAGCAACTCTGCGCGGCCTCGTCCACTGCCCGCTTGCCACGACAACGAATGTAAGTCCGTGTGCATCTCAGT